ACTTGGATACGTATCTCAGTCTTTAAGACGCTTTACTTATTTTCCAGCTGAGCATTTGCCAAGTCGGTGCTGTTGCAATCAAATTGTTATTTATTTTGGCCAGCCAAGCAACAACCTACAAAATGCTCGCATTCAGTGTCGGCAGCGGGCAATATTATTAACCATATCAATTGCAAGAGTGCAACACCTTTGCGCATGCGCAACCCGGCGATAGCCAAAAGCTCAGCCTGGTCAACTGATGCGGGCGGGTGGTCAGCCAATTGGAATTGCAATTGCGGCCGCTGTTACCGTTAGTCGTGGCTGCCGCTGCCACTGCCGCTGCCGCTGCCATCGTAAAAGTGCAAAGTCACGGATGAACGAGCCGACAGTTGGCAGTTGGCCGACAGTTTGAGTTGCCGGAGCCGGTGGAACTTTGCTCCAGCGATTCGTTTTAATTGATTTTGTTGTGCGGCTTGTTGGTCAATTGCGGCAGGAATGGCAACGCCTGCACCAACCACCAACCACCAGCCAACAACCGCCAACCAGCAGCCACAACAACCACCAACGGGCCCACTGCCGATGAGTTGCTAAACTAAATTTGCGCTTGGGCAACTAATTTAACTGAACATGCTGTGGAGACAGTGGAACTCAATCCAGGCCCGGGTATGCAAAAGAGTTGCCAAACATTCGCGGCCAAATTCGGCGGCTCCTAATTGTGGATTTTGGACGCCACGTCCACTCACCGCAAACCAGAGCCACCGTGGCGATAATTCCACTTGGCACCCTCTCGCTTCATTGCCTGATTTGAGTGCTCTTGCTGCTGCTGTTGTTGTTGTTGTTGCTGCTGGTGTTATTGTAATTGCCATGGTTTGTACTTTTTTTTTTTTTTGGCTAATTTTCAAACACAACGACGGCCCAATGGATTTCCATTTCCACTCGCTTGCCATAAACTTTTTGCGGCAAATGTTATTGGGCTACTCCAAGTGGTTGTTGTTGCAGCTGTTGTTGTTGTTGTTGTTGCAGTTGGTGTTTATGCAATCAAAATTCTTGGTTGCCCCGCGGCAAATAGCAACAACAACCACAACGGCTCGAATGGCACTTGTGGGTGCAATTGTAATTATCCTAATTTATGTTGTATGCTGCTCGCTTTGCTGCAGCTCTTGGTTGCGCACACGCCGCGCTGGCACCGCCCAGCAATAGCCCGCCTCTGTCGGATTCTAATGCTGCACAGATTTATTGTAAATTATCTAGCCACTTGACAATGATCGATAGCATAAGATTTATGCACACAAATATTCAGGTATTAAAAACGCCGCTCAACGTTGCCCATTTTGGGAACAGCTCCAACTGCAGTTTCGGACAGCACTCGAGTGCACTCGAATCGCGTTTATTTTGTGGGCAACGGTTTCATTTTCTATCTGCGACTATTCAAAACATTTTCCACTGTCATTCCTGTCGCTTGGCTTTTACAATAATTAGGGTAAATAAATGAGGCGACAATTTTGAAATGGAATTGTGAATGCGCTGCATTAGTGAAATGTCTGAAATGGGTTTTGGCCAAGTAGATTTTATTGTAATTAAGTGCGCAAGCTAGAATTTCAATTTTCAATTGCACACATAATATTTCAGTTTTTGTTAGCTGCAAATTACATAAATTGTTGTATTTTAATTAGCTAATTAACGCATAGTGCATCGTTATTTAAGCAGCTTTACAACTACTTCAAATACCCTATAAAACAATAAATATCACCAACTTTATTTATTTTAAACTAATTAATTAAGTTACAGTTTAATTAGTCTTATATTAGTTCTAGATTCTATTGCAGTTTTTTATTTTTACACTAATTAAGACATCAATGTCTGCGCCAAGTTGAAGAATCTATTACGTTTATTACACCAACATTTGTACTCGTTTAATATTCGCATGAATATTCATGCCTTAAACGGAACTAGAGAACTAATAAAAACAATGTAAATAAATTGCTTACAGCATAACACAAATGAGAAATAATTAACAGCTCCTCCCATTGCCATAGGTTATTTAAAATGAAAATATTTATAGAAGGAGCCACTCCAGAAATTGCATTTTATATATTGCAAAACCAAGTTCACACACACACACAATTAAATATTTAATAAATAAATTAGCTCATAAAGGCAAAACTACGACAATAACAAGCAAACAAGAACAAATAACAAATAAACAAATAAATGTGTTGAACAAATACGTAAAGTGTAATCGCATTTGAATGAGAAGCGGGGGCCAGAGGCCAACATGGCATACGACATTCACAAACAGCGTTAATGCCCGCAGGTGTTAATAATAATAAATACAAAAAAAAAAAAAACAAAATCAATTTCGAGCATATCACATCAAAGTTCTATCGACATTTCAGGTGTGGTCCAGACCATACAAATTGATATGTTCATGTCAAAGTATGACAACAAATAAGCTAAATCGTTCATTCAAGCATTCAATCGAGTACATGAGCGCAGACAACGCCAACTCCATTGATTAATGGACACTTTATGCTGTACATGATAATTAATACCACTCGAATGTCAAATTAAAATTTATGTGCACGCACTTTGGAGTTGACAACTCGCGTTTAGTTTTGTATGAATCTAATTAAGTGCGGGAATTTGAAATGCAGCAATGACACTAGCTGAAAGCTCAAGCCACTAAGATATGTTAAAAGATACATTAGGTTGCAGTTGACACCAAGCATTAACATATCTTACGACTTTCCTCTATTCTTCGCTCTAACTAATAGTTATTAAATAAAACTTTCAGCTAAAAGTTTGTGTTTTACCAAAAAACAAAGCTTAAACTTGAGACTGTCAGCTTTTGTTTCTCCTTCTTTCTCTTTAACTACTTTTTATTAACTTCTACATTCAGCTGGTGTAATTTAAGATGTATGAAAGAGTTATGTTACATTTAAAACAGCGTTAGCATCTTTTACTCTTTTTCTTTTTAGCTTAATTTTACTGAACGCAACTTTCAGCTAAGCTTAAACTTATAGCCTAAGGCTGTAAGAAACTCTACTCCCGCTGTTTCCATTTCTCTCTGACTTTCCCGCAATCTCTCTCTCTCTGCTTCTTAATTAACTACAAGTTCATCTAGTGTGATTTAACCAGTAAAACTTTAGCTGTACAAGTTGTATAATAGTTGAAAAATCGCTTAAACTAGACTCTGAAACGTTTAACATCTTGTAATCTCGCTCTCTTTTTCTGTCTTTCTCTCCAGCTTTTCCCTTTCTCTCTCCCTCTTTCTCTGTCTATATTTCCCTTTCTCCCTTTGCCTCTCACCCCATCTCTTTTTCTCTATCGCTCTCTTCAACTGATTTTCGTCAACTGCCGCTTTTGGCTAGTTTCATTCTGACTTAAAGCAATTCCACTAAAAGCACTGCACATAAATTGCTCTCGAAGTAACAAAAACAAATTTATTTTAAGTATACTCGTGCTCATTTAATTGAAAAGCACTTTGTAGTCTCGCCGAGCTTTGCCTATTAAGTCAACTGATAACAGTTAAGAAACTCTGTTGATATGCTCACAGCTGAGTCCCCATCTGATTTTCACTGTGAGTGCGCCCACAAAGCAGATGCGCCCGCTGCTTTTCACATTTCAATTAGCGGTAATCTCGCGGCAATTAAAATTAGCAACAGCAAAGTGCTGGGCATATTGCCAGTAGCTTTACCATTATCCCGCCAACAGCATTCACATCAAAACGCAACAACATTTCGCCTTCAACGCGCATCGCTCCCAACACGGCAAAACATTCGCGACTTCACCTCCAAGGCGATAACAGGCAGATGCAGCAGCAGCAGCAGCAGCAGCAACAACAACAACAACAACAACAGCAGAAGCAACGCTCAAAACACAAATACCCTTTCCAAACTCAAGTTTTGAATCAATTCTCAAAGTGCCCGTGGCGAACGCAGACATAAGCAGCCCAGGAAATAACTGGATAGCCTGCTTAAGCAAGTGTGTCGAAGTCTACCAAGGTTTGTATGTGAGTGTTATTTATTTAACAGTTTGAACCTGTGAACCTCAGCTCAGACTAGACACACACACACACAACATAAGTGCTGACAACGGGTTTCGCTAAAATATTTCTGCATCATTGTGAGTTCATCATGCATCATCAATATCATAACGAATGTGAAAATCATTCTCAATGGGCGGTCGTATTGTTGTTGTATTTGTGCATATCGTGTTATGCCAAATCCCAATTAGAATAATAGTCTCGCTCGAATACAAAATACCCTGCACAAAGTTTGGAGTATGGCAGCACATATCGTAATTGTGATATGCTAAAATCAAATATGAAATTTGTAGTAATTATAATGGCAGATTATCCCATGTACAGGTTTGAAGTATCCATGTACACGATCTTGTGCAACTTCTCTTTTAACTTTATCGTTTAAAGATAATCAGATTTCAGAAATACCAAGTAGAATAATTGAACAATACAATTGTTTTAATATAAAAACTGTTCAATTATATTTTACAGATTAGGTGAACATATTTTTAATTAGGATCTTACTTAGAATTTTCAATTATTAATTGTGTAATTCACAATGTAGTTTTTAAACAACAGATAGGAATAAATAAAATTAACAAGTGAATTAAAATAATTGCGGCTTTATCAAAATTGCTCGATCTACACAAAAGTGGAAAAAGGTTTTAAGAATTCTAGAGATATATTTGCTGTTTAGGCTGAAAGACATCATATACTTTTTTTTATCCTATGTATTTGAGTACAGGGTATTGTCGTGTGATGCTGCACATGCCATAAACAGAGATTTTACATAAGCAAATAGTATTTGTCGTAATTATTCGTATGCTATTCGGTTGATTAGTCTGGCTGGCTGCCGATCATTTTGGGGGGATTTTTAGAAGATAAGTCAACTCATTGTTAATTAACCGCGTAATTGAAAAGTTCATTTAAAAGTGTCGTTCATGCATGCACACACATAACCACAGGCATTCATAAATTGATTCATTTTTGGTTCGTTTACCTTTGGCACAACCTGATGGCACAGTTTTCCTCTGTATAAACATGATGTATTCGTTTGTATTTATTCGATTATTGTGCTCTTGAACTAGAGATCAAATGAACACAATGGCCAAACCAAATTAAAAGCCATAAGGCTGGCAATTATATAACTTTAGCGCCGGAGACTGCAATTGCAACTGGCAACTGGCAGCAACAACAATTACAAGTATTATGCAGTGCATTCCACCTATTTACATACATGTGTATGTGTGTGTGTGTGTGTGTGTGTGTCTGCTTGACATGTTCTCCAATCTCGGCCATAGTCGCTAATTAAAAGGTTTAAGGCTAAAATTAGCATACGAGGCAATGGCAATTCAAAGTGAATACAACTACAGATGCACCTCACAGCGACACGCACAAAATGAGTAAACCACAATCACACACATACACACAAACGCGCAACACACACACACATACATAAGCTAATTCGCGTGTTTGCTGTCCATGAAACACAAATTCATGCGATACGAGATGGAGAAATGGACCTCGGCAACAACAAAAAATGCCCATAGGCTTGTACTCTATGTATAATGATTGGATGGGTAGGTGGTCTGAGTGTTGATGGGGCAGGGGGCAGGGGGTTGGTGGTTGGGGAGTCGGCTATTTTGTTGAGCATGAGCTGCGTGTCGTCATATTAGATGGCATCGCATGCCAGCAATTATCCGCATAATCTTGTAATACTAACCTAAACCCAAAATGATGTCGAAAGGCAATTTAGTGGCAAGTTTTCTTTTCGCCTCGCAAGTAGCTTTAATTCACTTAACTAGTTGTTCGCGTGTGTGTGTGTTTAGATATGTGAGTGTTTGCGTGGCCAGTGATTATGCATATAAGCAGTAAATACATTTGACATTTTCGCTGATGGAAATTACGTATACGCACGGTGTGCGCAATTTGTACTTGCAGAAACTTTTTCCAGTGAAATTCCAGATGAGCTTAATGGGAATTTGGCCTTCAAATTAACTCATAAATAAGTTAACTATTATTAAATAAATTAATCCGGCTAGTAGAATCTTGAAAATTACATATAACCTGTCCTTGTAGATTAGCTTATGTGGAATTGAATTGTAGCGACCTAACCATTGCAGCTGTTAAAATGCCGCATTTCGTAGGGTGTAGCGCAGCGAAGCAACCAAAATTTAACCAGCTTTGGTTGCCAGTCCGTTCTGTCTGTTTGTGCTGTCCAATTGTTTTGTGAAATTAAATTAAATTGATTGAATTTAGACTCAATTCAAAGCTGAACCTGGGACGGAGGTCAAAGCGGAGGTGCCACCGTTTACAGAGTATGCGTGTACGTGTGTATGCCTATGTGTGTGTGTAAATGTGTGTACCAGTGATAATGACACTAATTTGAGAACGAAAAGTTTGTTGTTGCGACCGCTGCAGCAGCTGCTGCTAATGTTTATATCGTATTATTAAAGCACTTCTTGTTGTTGTCGCGGCTGTCTGTTCAAAAGTTGTTTTTGTTTAGCCGACATTAGTACACATTAATGGAACCGGAAGTTGCCGCTTAGGGTGCTTCGAAATGAGGTAAATAGGTCGAATGCTGGGCCTACGGCAATGCGATCGGCTTAGGTGCAGGTTGATGCATTTGTGGAAGGTCAAAGACCCATTGATATCAATACAACAATCATGTTCTGCTAGGCTGTCAATATTTACGTTATGCCCTGTCGCGCAAACTGAATGGCAGCATACGCACACACACACACACACGCACACTCATACACTGCCTGGGCAGTAAACACAGATCACAATCATTGCGACAACATGGAAGCCAATCTCGTCTCCACCTCTACCTCCGCCGCTGACGCCATCTCCTTTTCTTTACTGATCTATGCTTTTTTGAGGGGTTTATTTAAGCGCCGCGTCGTCGACGTCGCCATCGTCGCCGCCGTTGTCTTCATTCAATTGTTTGTCGCGCGCCGTGATTGCGTCCAGCTTGGCCGGCGCACTGGACAGTCCCAGCCGAAGCTGGCACTTTTAGTAGGCAATGCGCGTGCGACTGATGCGCTCGCACTAGATCTCGCTGCTCGGTGCTCTCGATTTTCAGTTCTCGGTTTACGGTTCACGGTGCTCGGTACTCGATTCTCGGCTCTTTGGTTGGCGGCTATTCATTTTTCATTGCTTCGCAATTGCGACGCGCAAAAAATTGCGTTTAATTAAAGTATAATAGGCCACAGCGCATATTCGGCACCATTCGTTGCCGTATTCACAACTCGTGTTCATATTCGTTATACATATTCATAACCGCGCACTTCTATGAGTCGCCACAGCCCGTTGAAGTTGGCGCTGGTGCAGGTGCACGGGGTTCAAATGTCGCCTACGCCACCCGCCGCTCGTGCACGTCGCGTCAAGCTGGGATTAGGGGTTAATCAGCAAACGGGTCGTGTACAGTGGTGTCCCGGTCTAACATGCTGTAAATTGCTTTTGCTGCTTCCAGTGGTGATGCTGCCATTGACATTGGTGCTGCTGCTGCTACTGCGGCTGGACGGAATGCTGCAGGCTCTTCAACTAAACGAACAGCGCATGCGCGAGCAGCGCCTAGCGGCAGACTCGATGCCCGGCTATCTGGACGACTACGAGTCGCTGCTGCCGGAGGGCGACAGCTACAATGAGCTAGTCAATGATGAGTTTCTGTTGCCGCGGGCACAAAGCGCCCGGCTGGAGACACTGGCGGAACGAGCCAGACGCTGTCTGCCTTATCGCTATGCGAATGGTGAGACTTTGGAGCTAGAGGATCGCAGCATTTTAATGAAGGATGCGCGCACCTCCTTTCTGCCACATGGCCCTGGACTCGGCTCCATGCCACGCGAGTGCTTCGGCAATGAACTGTTTTTGCCCACCGAAACCGAAACGGATACGGTGGTTGACGACGATGCTGGCTCTGAGTTTGACACAAGTCACAAAAAGGGCATGCCCAAGCGCTACCCGGAAACACTGCAGTACTGGTCACGGCGGCAGGCAGCTCGTGAACGGCGCGAGGCACAGCAGCAGCGAATGGATAATATGGAATCCCAGTTACTCGATAGCCCGCTGCAATCTTTCTGGAATGAGCAGGGCACACGGGAGGATATACGCCAAGCACAGGCCAAAACCATGCAGCGTTACATGAACACCCATGTGGATCCCTGCGTGGATTTCTACAAGTTCGCCTGCGGTAACTGGGAGAAATTGCATCCCATACCCAAGGACAAGGCAGGCTTTGACACTTTCGAGATGCTGCGTGAGAGTCTGGATCTGGTGCTGCGAAATCTGCTCGAAAAGAATGTGCAGCAGCACAGTCCAGAGACGCATGTACGCCAAAACGTATTCAAACTGAACGAACAGGAGCCTGAAACAGATCAAGCGTCCGAACTGAAAGCCGAGCGCCTGCGCCGGCACATTGTGCACCGGCGGCATTTACTTAACCGGGTGCTAGTGCGGTATAAACGCTTCAGCAATGGCACCAAGCGCAAACGGCTCATTGAGCCGACGCGTGAAAAGTCGAAAGAGGAGGAAGCGGCGGCTACAGCGCGCAACAACAAGGATAAGGACCATGACAAAGACAAGGACAGAGTCAAAGAGGAATCAATACATGTGCCGCCCGGCCCTGGAAGCCCCAATGAGTTTTTAAAGCCCAAGCACGATGCTCAGGTCAAGGCCAAGAATCTCTACAAATCCTGCGTGAACAACGAGCTGCTCAACCGCCGCGGCCTTGAGCCGCTGCACACGCTAATCCGCCAGCTGGGCGGCTGGCCAGTGCTCGACTCCGATTGGCGCAGTACCCACTTCAACTGGCAGCAACTGGCCGCCACACTGCGTCGCTACAACAATGACATACTCATCGTGCAGTGGGTGGGCGCCGATATCAAGAACTCTGAGGAGAATATCATACAGTTTGATCAAACCGGCCTGGGGCTGCCCACTCGCGAATACTTCCTGCAGCAGAACAATGCCAAATATCTAAATGCCTATCAGCGCTACATGTCCGAGGTAATGAACAAACTGGGCGCCAGCAAATCGGATGCATCACACACCGCCACCGAGCTGATCGCCTTTGAGACGCGCCTTGCGGCGATTACAGCGCCAGCGGAGCAGAGACTCAATGTGACCAAGGTAATGTGTGAAGTGCAAGAAGCCGCTCTATATTCTTGTATGCCAGTGCAACTTTGAAAAAAAAAAAATAATAATTTAAAAATATCTGGCTTACTGCTTTGCATATATGTATTAAAGCTCGATATATCTGCAGAGGATTTATCTTTAAGAAACTTTTTTTGACCGATTCTTTCTAAAGAGCTATATGTTATAAGCTTTAGCTTATACAAGGAGTAAGTAAATGCCAAGTTCGGTTAAGATATCTTGTAAAACAATCCCACATGATCTTAATTTTTGATCGATCATTTTAATAGTAGCTATATGTTAGTCGTCCGATAAGTAGAAAATACTTACAACCAGAATTTTCATTCTGGATATAAGCGAAAACTGTTTGTATAGAAGTTAAAAAATTGTACTGACTTATTGAAGTTTCGGGATAGAAATGTTCTTTCTAATGCATGAAAATACGTGGCTGATTTTTTTTTTCTGGGTGTAGCTTTTTGAATTGCACCAATAAACTCTATAACTTGTACTCCATAGCTCTACAAGCGGATGACGCTGCAGCAGCTGAAAGCTTTGGTGCCACAGATTGGCTGGACTGCGTATCTGAGTACGCTGCAGGGACGCAATGTCAACGAAACGGAGCAGGTGGTCATCTATGCGGTGGATTACATGAAGCAGCTTGTGGCACTGCTCGCCGTTACAGAGCCACGCACTGTCGCCAACTACATGATGTGGAGGTTTGTGCGGCACCGCATCAACAATGTGGACGATCGCTTTGACGATATCAAGCAGAATTTCTATCATGCGCTATTCGGGCGCGAGGAGAGTCCGCAGCGCTGGAAGGTCTGCATAGCGCAGGTGAACACCAATATGGGCATGGCCGTCGGCTCCATGTTTGTGAGTCGGTATTTCGACGACAACAGCAAGCGGGATACACTGCGCATGACCCATGAGCTGCAGCAGGCATTTCGCGATATACTTAAGACCACTGACTGGTTGGATCAGACCACCAAGCTTCTGGCCGAGGAGAAGGTGAATGCCATGTCGCTTAAGATTGGCTATCCGGATTTTATACTGAATGCCGAGGAGCTAAACGAAAAGTATGCGGGCATCGATATACATCCGGACAAGTACTTTGAGAACACGCTCAATGTGCTGCTGCACACGGCCAAGATGGAGCAGGCCAAGCTGCACGAGCGTGTCAATAAAACCAACTGGCAGACGGCACCGGCGATTGTGAATGCCTATTACAGCCGCAACAAGAATCAGATCATGTTTCCCGCTGGCATACTACAGCCACCGTTCTATCATCGCCATTTTCCCAAGTCGCTTAACTTTGGCGGCATCGGTGTGGTCATTGGTCATGAGCTAACCCACGGCTTTGACGATAAGGGTCGGCTTTTTGATAGCAATGGCAACATACACAAATGGTGGACGGACTCGTCTATTCGCGGCTTTGACGACCGCGCCCGCTGCATTATTTCACAGTACGGCAATTACACGGTCGAGGAGGTGGGCATATCGCTCAACGGCGAGAGCACGCAAGGTAAGCCATAAATCCACTAGCCCAATTAATCGTATGGCTCATCAGTCATCTGCCCAGGTGAGAATATTGCGGACAATGGCGGACTGCGGCAGGCTTTTCACGCCTACATGCGTTGGATAAATGAAAACCCGCACGAGGCCAAAGATGAGATGTTGCCGGGCCTAAATATGACCGGACCGCAGCTATTCTTTTTGAATTTCGGTCAGGTATGGTGCGGTGCCATGCGGCCGGAAGCGATACGGAACAAGCTGAATACAGCTATACACAGTCCCGGACGCTATCGAGTCATCGGCACACTCTCCAACTCGTACGACTTTGCGCGCGAGTTCAATTGTGCTGCAGGCACGCCCATGAATCCCTACAAAAAGTGCAGCGTCTGGTAGTCGCCATCGATTGTTACCTATAGCCTAAGAGTATTACAGATGATCTGTTCCTAAAAATACCAATTCAGGCCAGTTGGATCTATCGCTAACTGTAAGTATTATTCAGTAAACCCAACCACAACCACTTCTCACTCGCATTCCAATGCTGAAGCACTCTTCATAATTGCTCCACATTTGAAGCCACTTGATTAGGAGTATGTGTTGGCTGCCAGCTTCCTCTTCTGGTGCTGGGCTTGTTGGTTCTTGTCAACAACAACGTCGCACTTCACTTAGGCCCATTGCGCCACAATTCACATTCACTTAATTAATGGTGATTTATGCCCACAAGTTGGATTGCAACTGTCTGCCTCCCAATGCGGTTGTTGTTCTCCTTCTTGTTATGTTAAACTTCTTCAATTGTCTTTCCAATAAGCTCGCAATTCTTATGCGCCAATTTGCGAACTCAAACAATTCGCTAATTAATCGTATGTGTTTAAATTTAAATTCAACAATCAAATTAAAAAAAAAAAACATGACCCAATTTATAAGAATCGGTTAGTTTGATAGTTTGAACATTTTACGAAGATAACTTTTCATACATAGTGTACATTCCTTGAGTTTATCAACTTTGTAAATACAAAACTCTCAAAATAAGTAAGCGAAGGGGCTGCATAAAATATTTCCAAGAAAAACGAAAATCCAATTTATTGCTTAAAAATTAAGTTTTGAAAATTCATTTCCTAGAATTGGGAAAATATAATTTCTAATTGCTTTAAAATCTTAGCATGACTTCTGCTCTTTTAGTATATTATTTTACGCAGTTTTCCTTACATTTTTTTTATATCATCCAAAATTAAATGTTTAAATACAAATTTTTGATAATATAAAAAAAAATGTCAAAAAA